GAAGATTTTTATACAGTTTGGTGATGAATTCTGCTACTTTGATGCAGAGAAAGTGGCTTTGCTGTTTCTAAATGTTTGTCCATATATTGAAGCTACTAATTGGGAAACAGGGCATCTGATGGAGATGGAGTTAAGTTGGCACGTCGAATCAAGGGGAGTGAAAGGCAGTTGTATTTTATTACTTACTTTTCTACTAAGGTATATGTTACCTAGTTCTTCGGATCTCTCTGTTTGTTAACTTGTTACATAACGCTGTATCCTATGACTTATCAAGGCTGTGTTTAATGTGGAAAACAGTTGTTGGCTACAATAATCTTCAGGGAGCCAAGGCTGCACTGTAATTATACAATGCAATCAATTGAATTTACACGTCGAATTGAAAAAAAAAAAGAAAAAATGAAAAAATCCAACAACTTGATCATAGAACATGAAAACAAGAAACTGAATCTTCTGAAAAATCCAAACCCAACATAGATAACACAAAGTATCAATCAGAAATTAATCCTAGGAAAGAGATTTCAAGCAAGACAAAGAAGAGCAAAAACTATTACAGCGAATTTATAAGATAAAATCTTAGGATATCTCGAGGCAGAAGAAGTTGCATTTTTGACCTGATTTTGCTCAATAACTCTTATTATAATTTTCTGGCCTCTCTTGCAGTGTCCAAACGATCCACTTATAAAGTAGAAAAATCCAGGGCGATCAAGGGTGAATATGGTGTCCCCAGTATTTGAAAAGAAAATAGGGCGTGTTGTATTGCAGTTCTTGTACTCTGTTTCACTAACTTCCATCACTGAATCCTTTCTGTAATTGAAACCTTGATCCAACACAATTTATGAAGAAAAATGAAACCTTGACCGATGAACGAATGAAGAAAATGAGTTAGTAGTGAAGTATAGGACTTACGAATAATGTCGTCGATCTTGAACCGCTTTTCGGAAGCCCAATCGTTGTAGAATTTAGTGTGATTCGTCGGAGGAACGATCCAACCAGCTCTATCACCGACTTGGAACTCGAAGCAAGAGACATGAATGAGTGTAACAGAAGACAGAATAGTAAATAGTAGCATGATTCGGATAGTGAAATGAGACTCCATTAGTAGCTTCTTCAAATTCTTTTTCAAGTTGCTTTTAATTTGGATATAGAATTAAGAATTTAATCACCTTATTTTGTATATATATTGCTGTGCAATTTGCGGTTATAGAATTAGTTACTACACGAGAGCGGGAAAAAGGGTCGTGAGGAAGATAATGGCTACTTCCGGGGGATAATGGGGGTGTTAACGGTTTTACCTGATCAACTGGTCACTGCCAAAGTAGAAAAGGGTTGGATCGGGATTGAATTAGTGAGAAAAAATAACGGTTCTTAACTTTTTAATTTTTGTACACTTTACTCTAACTTTTAATTTGTGTCACGAATGTCCCAACCTTTCATAATTATGCATCTGGAGTCGAATTTGATGGAAACTATCTATAAAATCGTTAGTTGACCTAGAAATACAAAAATTATTTATTTTGACCATTTTAAGTAGGGGCATTTTCGTCCATACTTGATTTCTCCTTTGATTTAAAAACAACAATTAAACTAATAAAAAAAAAAAACTGCCCCACCACCCCACCCCACCTTCATCTTCTTCCCCCAAACCCAACAATAATCCAAAATCGCTGTTGTCGTCTCCTATATAGCTGGAGTACCATCATCTTCCTCCACTACCCTTGACAACAGAACGTTTTACCTAGCCCTAATCTCTTCGACCATGATTTAGATGATGCCAGCTTCAACGAGTATTTTAGCATTCAAGTCCTAGAACAATTTCCCAAGATAGTTTGCCATTTCCATACTCATCTCTTCTGTACCTGTTCATTTAACTTTAACAATTATTGTAAGTCACTTTTAATTGGTTTCCTAATTTTTTGCTTCAGTAGGATATTACATTCAACAATATGAGCGTTACGATGCTTTCTTGGATGGTACTATCAGAAAAAGAGCAATCTATAGGCATTTGATCTTATCACAATTTGATCTGATTTTGACTATTCATTACTGAAACTACGTTTCTCATTGACATGTATTAAATATATTTATTTTTTTTTTTTGAAGAAAACAACCATATATTCCAAACAGCATGAAGCTGGATACAAGGAGAGAAATCTCCTACACCATGCTCTCCTCAGAGAGATTCAGTGCACCCAATGCAAAGAAAATACAACAACCAACAAGAAAACAGAGACAACAAAAACAGGAGAAAAAAAAAAGGAATGGAATCCGGCCAATGAAGATGGAAGCTGTCTTGGAAGGAAGGAGCCATAACCGAAGTAGAGCCAGCAACACCGAATCCCTCCAGCCGATCACCAAATCCTCACAACAGTAGGGGCTTGAAAATAGTAGCTGAGAACCCACCTGAGCAAGGATAGGAGCTCGTCGGAAAAGGAGGACCTGCTCACTCGAACCCAGAGAATGCCACAGCAATAGAAGAACTTCTGAAACCCAGGTCCAAACCCACACCATTAGCAGAAAAGAACCGGCATCACTCAGCCATACACCGCAACCACTTACCACAGCAAACCAAACACCACCAAACCAAAATACACAAACCCCAAGACCTTAACCGGTTAGAACCGGAGAGGGAAAACCTCCACCAACCGAAGCTAGGGAGGAGACCACCTCCACCGCCCGAAGACGGGGAGAACCAACTAGGACTCCGAAGAGCCTAGAAATAAAACCTCACCTCTGCTACTAGAGGGAGGACAAAACCAACAAAAGCAGGGGGCGAAAGGAAAACGGCCGGACGAGTGGCACAAGGCCACTCGTCGGAAGGAGGTGCAGACGATCGAATACCTAGGGTTTTTGGGACATGTATTAAATATTGAGAACTATATTTCAAATGTCAGGAACTTTAAATGTAGAAGACTCTTATGTTCGGAATGAATCTCGTTCTAGACAAATGAAGTATCAAGATAAACAAGGTTCAAATATCGATAAAAACTTTTAAAATGTCAAGAACGTCATTTTATTGTAGCTTATCATTGAAACTACTACTTCTTTTCGAAATTCATGATAAATTGAAAAAAAAAATGCTTTATTTTTTTTATTAAGTGTATAATAGACAATTTAGTACTAAATTTGACCATTTTTGCAAGAGTTATCAAAATTAGATATTTTTTAATTGATAAACATGAAATTAGACATTTTTATAAATTCCTCTTTTGAGTTTTCATTATTTATCTCATTATTAAAAAAGAAAAATGTTGAACTTCAACTTTGAGAGCCCCCACCACCCCGTTCCTAGAGTATTGTGGAGGAGGTAAATCTCGGAATGTGCCTTAGCAGGCAAGTGTACAAAAGCTGTGATATTGGTGCCCACAAAGAGTCAAATTTCATATTTTGTAAGAGGCTTTAATCGAACCGTCACACTACGATTACCAGCTCAACTAAAACTATCTTACTCTTATCCCTTACATTACTGAACTATATCCCGAAGGACATTTATCTCATTATTTATCAGTGTTGCGATAGGCTTTCTTAGATGGTACTATCAGCAATCTATGGGCATATGATCATATCACAATTTGATCTGATTGTGACTATTCATTACTGAAACTAGTTTTTCTGACATTCTGATTTGATTATTAATTCATCTTTCGACTTTCTGGTTGCACTTTTGTAAACAGAGAAAATTGGTGGTCCCATTTGGTTCTTATATACAACCATCATGTCATGCGCGTTCAAAAGAGTTCAACGACTTTTAACTGTAAAGTATATAGCCTCCAGAATATTATTAATG